TGATTGGCTTCACCTCGTATGACCTCTGACCCTGTTATACTTATTTTTTCCTCTTTTTTTCTGTTCCCTAAATTGCTTTCTGTATACTGTATACCCCTTTGTGAAGACGTTGTATCCCGCATTTTATTATTAATGTATATTCATATCTAATGTTAATTTAGTTGTTGCTGATTCTGTTTCTTGTTTTTCTTCGATGTAAAATAAACGATGTTATGTAAAAAAAAAATTTAAAGGCTAAATTCATCCAAAACTAATATCTGAATTTTGGGGTTGACACTGGAGGTTTGAATCATTAGTTGACTACCCTAGATGTCTATGTGGTAGTTCATCCTGCTAGAGCTCCAAACTCATTTTAAAGCCAAGCAAGAGAATCCCTGTCCTCTGGCTGCATTCTTCATACTGTAAAATAAAGATATAAACTATAAAGATATATCAGTTAGGCATTGTAATTTTGCCACTGGAATTCAAAGCAGATATATCCATAAGAAGCTGTTAAGCCAATGCAGGGAAGCAAAAGTACAAAATAAAACTGTAAAAAGAACACTGACATATGATGGATCCTTCATGTCACTAGTAGGGGTGTGGGACCCTTGCTGAGGTGCAGCATAATTGTCAACAGAGCTGCTGATATTACAGATGTTATGCTGCCAAAACACTAAATTGCAACACATGAGAAAAGTCAGATGATGATAGCCATCTTGCTGGCAAACCAAGTGTGGTCCTGACTCATAGAGCAGGAGTGTGGTCCCACAGGCAGATGGTCGAGGCAGGAGTCAAACCAAATCCAGTCCAATTAGAATCCAGAAAGCAGTTAAAGATCAGGGTAGCAAAGCAGGCTTTAGATAAATAGATCCTTTGTCCATGTGCAAGCTGAAAAATGTCCAGCAGATGTCAGAGGTATAATATTATTAATTTAATTTTATAGCACCAATTAGAAATTCAAGATTTTTGTTTTATTCCTAATAAAAATTTTATGTAAGTCTGTCACCACCTCCTAAGACACTAGAAGTGCAGAAGATCCCAATGTTTTTCGACATCAGGTTGGTGATTTAAGAGAAGAGCTTCACTTTCACTGCCCTCCAATCTTGGGTTTACCCCACTTATATGCCGTGTGTACAGTCTTGGCATCTAGGGAGCTACAATTTAGTTTTTTATTATGACAATACAGTACCAATCATCAAATCTTCAAAAATAGGCCATTTAGCAAGCTTGGAGTAATCACCATAATGAACTTTTTGCATGGCACTGCAGCACAGACAAGTAAAAAGAGTATACAACCAGACTGCAATCTGTGCTGTTTGCAGCATTGTGCAATAATTGTATTTAATGCTTCTTTGTAAAAGGGCACCATAAATTGTTTACCAAAATCCCCAATGACTCATATACCAGAGGAAACTGCATTTTTAGCAACTTGTGTTCTGTTTAAAAGAGGTATCTAGTAACTGACTGCAATTACACAATTATGTGAACATTATCCTTTCCTCCCAGCAGAGGGAGCAGGAGATGACAGTAATGATGAGAAGAGGCTCCCCAATGATCTAACTATGGAGGAAATAATGCCAACTGTGAAAACACTGATCAGAGCCTTTCGGTGAGCACAACATACTGTTATGAGTACTGCAGAATGGATATTGTTAAACATAGCAATAATCTAGAGAGCTGTTTGATAAAATGGATTACGTATTACAGCAAAACAATACACACATGAATAACTCTCATTACCATGCACAGTTAAATGATGTATCTGTAATCGAAAAGTTTTAGATTATTAAATGATGTCATATTCTGACCCAGACTGTTTTTCTTCCCCAAAGGATCTTGAAGTTCCTGGTAGCAAAAAGGAAATTCAAGGAGACTCTCCGTCCATATGATGTGAAGGATGTGATTGAGCAGTACTCCGCTGGCCATCTGGATATGCTGGGACGAATCAAAAGCCTCCAGGGTCGGTCAGTGGTAAACTGTGTATTAAAAAGCCTGGATTGTAACACTGCTGTAAAATACACCGTCTGCAATGCAGAGTCTACATGTGTGGCCTTTTTAATAATCAGGAGCACAGCTAGTGTTGGGGGAAACTGCCCCATTTAACAAATCAGTAGATTCAAGTATCAGTATATTCCAGCACAAGTAGGGTTGATCTTCGGAGTGAAGGATCCTGATGCAGGAGAGGTGAGAATGCAAAGGATTGCACTTAAATTCGGGAGGGTTAGTTTTAGTGGTAGGGTTATTGGGAGAGTTAGTATGAGGGTCATTGTGAGGCTAAATCAAAATTTTAAGACCCAATTCATATACAATTAATATTTTACATCTGATTGGTTAAAGACAACAGGATGTTGTGATTCCGGATGACCACTGTGCACAGACAAAAAAAATTCTGAATCAATATTTGTTAATAAAAAAGTCAGTAATAATTTGGATACTGGTCCATAAAGCAAAAAGGTGTTTTTCTCTTGGGGATAATTGCAGAAACATCACCAGCACACCAAATCCTTATAGGATCAAAGTTCGTAGATTTTATTGCAAACTCATGTCAGTTACACAAGCGCTTTCGGGGCCACACAGGGTCCCTTCATCAGGCATAGCAAATAGCAATTTCTCTTGGGGATACCTCCAATTATTTGGACTGATTAGAGTACTTTTGTTTCAGTGGTTTTAATATTTCAAGCTAGTATTATTTGTTGCAGGGGTTAGGACAGTAGTGAACTTTTAAGTCCAAACAAAAAACACAACTCACTCTTTTTAGTAAATGCCTTGCATCTTTCATTCGGTGCACGGATTAGCCTTCTTTCCAAAGATGAAATGTACAATGTAAAGAAGTTTTCTCAGCACTTGAAATCCTCTAAATTAATCCTTTATTTAGTAAGCATAAAAACTGCAGAAAGTCACTGTTTCACTGCACAAAGTCACGCGTTTCTGCTTCAGTGGCCTCAGTCGTGACTAAGACCACTTAGGCTAAAATGCGTCAAAGGCTGCAGTTTTGGTTTTTTTTTGCTAAATTAAGGATTCGCTTGGAGGATTTTGAGTGCTGGCAAAATAAACTCTTAGCAGTGACGTTTAACAGATAGGGGCTGGGATTTTAAGAGAAATACCATATAGTGATATGACAGACCTCAAAGCTAACTACATTTATTTTATCTACATTTGCATATTTCTAAGCTCAACAGCCCAAACTAGTTTTTTTTTAAATAAAATGAGAAAGGGTTAGAAATTCAATCAAGGTTTCAAATGCTGTCCCTGTAGGAGGGAACTTTTTTCTTTTTCCTTTCTGCCCAATGCCTATCACCTGAACAGGAAGTAAGAGAATATCTACCTAATGGGGGCACATTTTTTGCTGCCTGTGCCCCCATTGAGGGAATTGTATTCATATCCTGTTCTGTCTGATACATATCACATAGCCCGAGATTGGAGAGATATTCCCTTACTACCTGTTCTGTCTAACACCTGTAAAGTAGACAGTAGGTAGGTTGAAATTTTCCAGATGGGGACATATCCAGCAAATAAAAAGTTGATAGAGGTTTATCTCGTTCACGCAGTATCCAAAACTAAAATAAACATTTCAGCTGGAGTTGCACTTTTGGCTGGCTTGTTTCTAATTTCTTATGCTTAACCTGCTTTGTCAGATCAAATTTAATAAACATTTACAAGCACTAACAACATTTGCTGAATTGCAAAACTGCAAATTGTGACTTACATTTCCGACTTTAAATAAAAAGAAAAGTCACATTTTAGGACCAAGCTTGCAGATAAAAGCCCTACTGCCTTGCCTGTCAAAGATTATCTAAGCTTAAAAAGGCTTTTTCCCCCCTTTTTTGGTGAACCGGCCAGTAATAAATTTCCTGTCTTAGGCTGACAATACTAACTCACTGTATTGTATCTATGAAGAAGCAGTGTTTTCACTATAGGACAGGACTGCAGAACACCTCGGCCTATTCTTTCTTCAGTGAATAGGGGAAGGTTTTCTTTAGTTCAAAAACGGTAGCTGGCAAGACTGATACCAGTTTGAGATTTGTTTGCAGTTCACAGGTACCTACAAACATACTGCATTACTGACAGGATTAACAGGTATTTTTCTGTACTTGCAGTAAATGTACTTAGCTTAAAAAGGAATATTAATGCAGCCACCACATCTGTGGACTGGTAACCTGCTATATATTTAATTTTTGTGCTTAATTTTAGATATACTTTAACCATTTCCATTCATGTTACACCCATTTTATTGCCAGGTCCTTTTTCAGTTTTCAGTCCTGGGAAAAATCTGACTAAGACTTAGTCCATCATTCAATACTGCAACACAATTTATTTACTATCATTTTTTGAGACAAATAGAGGTTTGTTTTGGTGGTATTTAATAGCCATTTAAGAAAATAATTACTATACAAAGTAAAAAAGACCAAAAATTGTCAGGACAGTCCAAAAATCTCTGAAATTACTGCTTTTTGGAGTTTTTAAAATGTTTTTAGACACTACAAAGTGATCTGATTTTTTGCCACAATATTTTTGGAAACTAAGAAACATGACAGTATTCAGGGGTTCAAACAAGGAGTATGATAATGGTGCACTAGATAAGATAAATATACAAGACATACAGAGAGGTGAAGGAGAAGGGGTTAATGCACACATCAGAGTAGAGACAGAATGGAGATGACATATACGGGAGGGGGAGAAGTAAAAGTTATTTAAAACTTCATTTTTTTAATTGTTTTTGCTGCTGCAGCTTATTTTCACTAGGAATAATGAATGGATCTCTTATCCAATTATTATTTCCTTATATAATGTATACATTGCCATGTGATCGCAGTGATAACCAACCTTGGGCAACAATCAGCCTTTGCACAGAGCCGGTCCAGCAGGGCTGCATGTAAAGTAACAAATAAGGGTCTCTTTTAAAAAATGTTATACTGCTAAGTGTTGCAGCAGAGGGTCAAAATATCTAGGATTCAGACCGCATCTGTGTTACACAAAGCAGCTGCCAGACTCTATATGGGTTCATCACACCCTCTGAACACTGCTCTAATCAACAGTTCTCTTGCTGTCTGAACAGCGCTGTGGATTGGAGCAGTGTTCATGGCATTAGTGTAAAAAAGTAAAGGAGCCCAATGTTTATTACAGTATATGTAGTCTGGCTACATTACAGTAATAAATAGCGAGGGTTCAGTTGAGATTTAAACGTGTAAATATCCAGTAAAAGTGGTCTTTTCCTAAATACGGCTATGGGTGCTCACCCTATTATGAGACAAATATGGGGGCTGCCATTGCTGACCTCCTTCTGAAAGTGTTAGATCCACAACAAGCATGCAATAACTCAATAAGTCAGCATACAGTCAGAACTTCAGCTATACATACTTGTTCATGGTTAGTGACCTAAAACACAGTGAGAGAGTAGGCAGACAGTCAGGCAACTACCATTGTCAAAATCAGATGTGTAGTATTATTTTAATGACAGGTTTTCCTGGAGTGTAGACATGATGTGTGCACATCAGTAAAGTGTTTGATGATGCACAAGAATGAACCAAAGTCATTTACATATAATCAGTTGTATTACTGTTGATTCACACTGTTACAGAGTAGATCAAATCATCGGCAGAGGTCCTGTTCCTATGGAGAAGAAGCCACGGGAGAAAGGAGAGAAAACCCCCAGTGGACATGAAGTAGATACAGCTGACGAACTGAGTATGATGGGAAGAGTGGTGAAGGTTGAGAGGCAGGTAAGCAACATGTCTTGTACAGTACTGGGTCACAATGAAATCATCAGATAGATAGTCCCAAGATGCTGGAAGATTTTTATTAGCACTTTGGAATCATTTCACTTTCTCCACAAAAAAACTAAAATATTTCTTCCACTGTGCATGCAGCACAATAAAACACTGTCCAACTAAAGAGATGTGGTCACGATGCAATGTAAAGCTTGTCACCCACATCATAATTTGATTAATACATGGAATACATACTCTATATATATGAGTTATGTCTGTTTTGTGCTCTATACCATTGTCGAATATTCAGCTTTGCATACACATTGCGCAGTCAGAGAAGGGACACCAGCTACTCTTGGAAAAGTCCATTCAGAAAAAAAGTCTGGACATTGCTATAGCTTTCAAGATAAGTTCCAAATATTATGTTTCACCTTTAAAGAGGCCTTCAAACAGAACTTCAGAATCATTGCTGATTCTGTACACATTAATGGAAACCTGTACTGAGAGAAATATGGAGGTGGCCATGTAAGAATTTCTGATATGCATACTTGCTGTACGTCAGAAACTAAGAAATTAATGAAGCCAATATATTTGCATAACAGCCAGGGAACTAGTATTCAGAAAGAGAGTTCAAGCAATGGCACAGCCTATACACTTCATATACACATTCCTATTAAATGCAATCTCGGTATCTAGTCTCTTCTCTTAGGCCATGTATAATATATTACTTAAATTACTGTTTATAACATTACTTGTATTATTGGTTTCTAACATTATTGCTGTAGGATATTGGAGTAAAATTGTGGACCCTGTAATACTTCCTTCTTAAAAATCGGAAAATAATAATCTTGTGGTGAAACTCTAAGGATGGAGACATATCTGGACCTAGGGCTAGCATATATCTGGACCTGGGTTGTAACCCATCTGTGACATAGGAAAGTCCGCTATTGATCCTGTGGAGGCTTTTAATGACCGCAGCTAAGATTGCACTTGTAGGAATAAGCGGTCACACTGTGGATGTGATGGCAATGATTATGATAATTAATAATTAAATTGTTGTGCCATGACTGAGTGGCTTCTCCTCTGATACACAGAGGTATCTGATTATACATTCATGTTGTTGATAAATTATTTTTCTTCTCTTCCATGATTTTGAATATAGGATGATACTTAGTATTTTTATATTAAAGGCATTTTTCACTTACATTTAAAAGCTGAACCTGGAGTTAGACCCCAATATTGCTGCACAGAGTATAATACATACACATATCCCTATTTAAGTTTAAAGTGCCATGTACGAGCCATCTCAATTATTCACAATCCAACAGGTGTCCACTTGGATTTCAACCAAATCACACGCATGTATGTTTAAACCAGGACATCAGTATGTGTGTGCTGTTCTAATAAAACGCCTACTATGATTTCCTCAGACAGCATTCTTCACAGGTGCTGAACATCTGGATTTGTCAAATGTGGTCAAATATAGTAAAGAATGGTCCATGCACAGTCTAAAATAAGTTGTGTCAGGTGACCAAATCTGCATAGGCAAGCTGTGTGCTCAGTGCTCCAAACCTATTTGACTAGAGATTCAAAACTGAGCTTTAATGTTAGCTCTTCATTTTAGGAAGGATCAAGTGAAACTAATTATGTTATTCTTACATTCATCAGATGTTACTTTGACTGTCTACTGACATGTAATAGGTTTATTTTCTTTTCAAGGTCCAGTCTATTGAAGACAAGCTCGATGTCCTTCTTGGCTTTTATTCTCAGTGTCTGAAGAAAGGTCCAGTGAGCTCCTGCACACTGTCTTCCATGCAAATGCCACTAATAGATCAGGACACGACATCCGACTACCATAGTCCAGTAGATCAAGTAGATATATCGGTGTCTGCACAGACACTTAATATTTCACGCTCAGACAGCAATAATATCGAATGAGAGACCTGAATTAAAGAAGAAAAGATGTCCCCTGACTTGAGATACTCTATAAAGAAAGAGATGTTCCATCATAGTATCAGGAACAAAGACACCATATGGTGATTTTGATCATGTATACTTGCTGGATTGACTCTTGTAATTTCCACATTCTAAAAAAGAAATTACTATAAATCATCCTTATGCAATTTCAGTGGGGACCTCTGGAAATGGGATCGCTAGTGTCACAGAGAGGTGGAAAGGACTTGACAAGCCATATATTCTCTCTGCGCCATGTTGCTATTGATAGGAGATGTGTCAGTCTCGGCTGTGAAGCAATTGAGATGTCAATCAGGTTACAATAATGAGCTGCACTGTGGCCACAACTAGCATTGTCCTTTCTTGCTTCCATGTCTTGCTAAGATGGCGAGTACCATTTTGTATAGCTCTCAGCCTCTAGAAAGTGCCTCAAAGATTTTATTATGCAGATGCTGCTCCTGTGGATTTTTCATCTCCTGAGTGTGGGGGAGCAGGTGGATTGGTGCACATAAAACTTGAGCTCATTACTTAACGCTCTCTTTGCTGAGTTCAATTTTTTTTTGTTCAGTTTTTCAACAAACTAATTCAAGCATGGATTTTGGTTGTTCACACTTCATCTCCAGAGGAAGAAGAGGGACAATTTTTTTAGGAATACTAAAAGTTCATCTGCTGGAGTGGACAATGTGAGGGCAACTTACCTGATGGCTTAAAGTATTTGAGTCAATGTCTACAAATGAATGTCTTTATAGAAATGTGTACGTATGATAATCTTTGTGTATGTATGTTGATGAGTGGGTGCTTATGTCTGAATGAAAGTTATTTGTACAGAAATGCAATTCAATGCTGTTTGTGTAAAGATAAATATCCAATAATATATTCTCACCTAACATGGGTGACAGTTTTGGTTCCAACCCATTTTGCACTGACTATATCTAGATTGTCCAGATAGACTCCCAGGTTTTGTTCACTTTCATGCAGCTGGTGAGTCTCAGACTGTCCAAAGAGGTGTAGGACTGATAGCAATACATACATGCAATTAATGGAGAAAAAGAAACACAAATGCAGTATATTATATAGCTATATGTGCTGTAACAAGGACACTCCACTGTAGACCGGAGGTGTAAGTAAGATGCAGTTTATTTGCTTTCAAAACGGTAGATAACACGAAATCCAACATAAATAGCTTGCTGTAGCATATAACAGATAAGGGCTCACCGACATCTGTCTCTCTTGCAGCACTGCTGCTCCGGCCTCAATCTTTAGGGCCACTGTCTGGTTCCTCCAGACAACGGCAATAACATGCCAATCCTCTCAATATGGTTCACAAACCCGCAGCTCCCTGCTGCACTGGCCTCCACACTGACTCCAGGGTGGAGCTCTCCCGACTCACAGGTGGGGCCCTGAACACATCCCAGCACACTCTTCATGAGAGATGTACACAGGTGCACAATCAGGTGCTGGTCACTACCAAAGCATGGACCCAGGAATGGAGATTTCATCCCACCCAGAGCTCTAAGAAATCTCCTGGCTCCAGGATCCCAACTATGATCCAGAAAACCTGGAAAGAACTGACAAGGCAGTTCTCTCCTGGTACACGTACTGTCTTCCTGGAGCCACTCAGCCCCTCTGGCTGAGAACCCTGGGTGACTTTGAGGCCACCTAACACCGTGGTATTGCCTCACAATGCCACAGTGCTTAGGTTCTATAGCCTAAGACTCCAGTTAGACTCCCAGGTTTTGTTCACTTTCATGCAGGTGGTGAGTCTCAGACTGTCCAAAGAGGTGTAGAACTGATAGCAATACATACATGCAATATATGAGGAAAAAGAAACACAAATGCAGTTTATTATATAGCTATATATGCTTAGGTTCTATAGCCTAACACTAGATTTCAATGTTAATGTGTTTCATCTTTGCCATGGTGTTTAATACTGCAGTTACTGAGAGCAATAAATATTATAAAATACAGGATCTGTTAAAAGCTATACATCTCGCTTCCTCTCAGACAGACCAGTACAACTTATCCGTAAGGCCTGGTTCACACTGAGCATATTGTCACAGCGGATTCAGCCTGACCAAAAGCTTCACCGAAAGAATCCCATTCATTCTTATGACCCCTGTGCAACCTAATGGTTTGTCGCAATAAGCAAAACGCCTGCCGCCAGAAAAAGTAAATAAGCTTCTTTTTGGCAGATCTCAGCTCATTTTGCCCCCATATACTCAATAGGAAATGATTCAAACGGGCGTTGTAATAAGATGTACGCATTCTATCCATTGACTTCAAAGTATCACAATCTGCTCCTAATTATTATATGTGCGTATACATGTGTAAGAATGCAACAATGCACATACATGTTTTTACGCGCGAAAATGCTAAGACTTAGGTGTGAGTCCGGCCTCAGGCATTAGTGACAGAGACTTTACAAAGACTACTGCATATTCCTCCCCTGAAGCTCAGGTGACCTGAGATCGAAATACAACATGAGCCTGCATTATGCTACTGTCAATGCTTTTCCTAATAAGAGGGTAAGTAACATTCATTTTTTTCCTCTCTTCTATGCACTAACTGCAAAACTTGTTGGAGGAAGAGTTAGTATGGGATCTATATACAGTTAAAGGGGATCTGTCATATATTGTTTTTCTGCATATAGGTACTCTATAGGATATCATTGTTGTCATTATTGAACAAACACAAATGTATTCTGGGTCTGGCAATGTAGCTGTTTATATAACTTACACAGCTGTTTATATAACTTCAGTGCAGCTGCCACAAAGGTTTCTTTAGCATTTCCCGATAGCAGAAATCTACTGCTCAGTAAACTACGTATTAAACATTGTCAATATTATTAAACAAAAGGACTTTCAGGGCTAGTTCACACCAGCCCCAGTGCGTTGCGGTCTGATTGGTGGATCGGGGCGGCTTTGCGTTCCGGTGCAGTCAGAAAAAATAATGCATACAGCATTTTTTCTGACCGCACAGGACTACAACGCAGGCGTTCTGGTGCAGGTGATCGCACTGCGGCCAGAGGGCGTGGCTGCGGTGCCATTGACTTCAATGCACCGCCATGCCCCCTCCCGCCCCAAACAAAGTGAGCTGGCCGGAATGCAATCCAGTGCCTTCCGGCACCAATCGGGCTGGAACACACTGGGGCTGGTGTGAACTAGCCCTCAAACAAAGCCTTTTATCTAAAAATCAGTAAACCCATTTGCTGCATTGCCTCCACCATTCTTTTGAACTACTGACCTCTTTGTATATACATTAAGGTTCAAACACTGGAATTTAATTTTCTTTTTTTCATTTTGGTGTGGATGGATTGAAAAATATACAAAGCTATATGCACACACTGAAATATCTTTACACAAACATACATTTCTGATTGTACCTGCATGGTAGAGGGCAAAGACTGTGAGTGTGAGTGATGCTTGTATGAAGCTGTAGCTACAGACTATTGTTTATGATGGTATGTAGAACGTAGTATGTCATTTTTATGTTGATGGGGAAGCTCCCTGTTCAGTCAATATTATTTGCACAGCTTTCTCTCTAGGAGAAGCATTATTTAAATATATGCAAAGCATTGTGCTTCGCTGCATTGCTCTGTCTTACGTCCTCCTTCTGAAACTCACACATAGCATGACATCCCGTATCCAGCTCCCTTAGCATGTAACTGATGGGCAATGCCCACATGCATTGAGGTTCCATAGGTTATAGTTGTACCTCAAATAACAATAGATGTCTAATCATTTCCTTAGTAGTTTGACCTTGCAATGCATCTCCGAATCCATGAGATTCATTGTATGAGTGTGGAATAAGTTCCACGAGTTCTAGAAAACATTATCAAACAATCATTAAATGTTATGCATTGTGTTTACTGATAAAAGTAATGTTTTATGGCCAGTATTAACTATAACCACCCTTATCCAATCATCTGTGAAAGATAGGATGTGAGAACAGGACACAGTATTTTCATTACACAGGAACAGATCATATCAGGCTGTTTTAATCTCTAAAGACATTTGTAAATGCAATTAACCCCAGCCCAATTCCAGTATTTAGCATATATAGCATGCTTTCAATATGCCACATTTGCTCATGCTGGGGTATCTAAAGATCCATGCTGGCAAACAGGAATAGTTTCTTTATTAGCAATATGGGTTAACCTGGGGAATTTGCAACTGGTGTCAGCACAGCATAGTTCATAATCAAGTATAGGTATCCATATATGTTTACAATAAACATTCTATGTTTCATGCTTCAAAATGCTGTACAAAATGTGCAGTTGGTGGTACTTTTCCTGGTGAGGAATCGAAGTCCCTTTCATCCGCATGCTTCAAGGGCACCTCCACTTGGATAGTTTCATTCCAACCTCAGAAACCATACAAAAAAACTGCATATACATGCCGTCTGCAAATCTTCACAGATTCTGTATGGGAGTGACAACAATCTTATGGGTGCGCATACAGTATTTTTTAGTTCTGAAGAGTTGGGAAGAGTCAAAGCTTCGCTAGAGCCATTATTTCTAACTTCCTATTCCTGTGACATTAGGACAACTAATAAGGGGAGGCATTTGTCGGTAGGACCAGACAAAAAGACAAAAATACAAGACAATAGGCACAGACATCAACAAAAACATTGTTAGAAGTTCTTACCCTTCCTAATGGCCCTAAGATTGTGTTTTTGTCTACATCCCCGGGCAGGGATTTTCCATAGGAAGTGAGGGGAAATCTCCCCAATAGGGACTCAGATAGGAAAAAAATCCAAAAATACTACATTTTAAAAACATTGATTATAATACTTTCACAATTATAAAGTAATTATAATTTTCTAAGATAAGGGTGAAGTGCATTATTTTATAGCAAAGTTTAATTTGTATTTGTAGAAGTAGTTTATAATATGAATGCTTTGTAACTTTGCTGAGCATGCATGATGCCTGTATAGCCGTGGGCATCTGAGTCTTAGAAGATGTGATGCCATTGTAGAAGCAGCCACCTCTGTAAAAA